TCACATGTTTCGTTATCTAACATATTTTATTTAATAATTTGTGTTTTTGTAACGACAACATTGTTCAAGATTATTTATTTTGAGGTTTTTCAAAGGGTTGCCATGTCGAAAGGATTTTTAAATCCAACTTCTGGAATCTTAGGATCCCGGGGTATTTTCTTGAAATTCTTTAAAGAACTTCTATACAGTGAATACTATTATATGAGGAACAGGTGAAAATTCTTACCAGTGGACCGAAGATATGCTAGATTAAAATTCCTTATAGCCCAATTTAAAAATGAATCAACAAGTTTTTTAGCCGACAATATGCTTTTATATTGGAATATTTTAGAAGAGAATAATATTCGAAAAAAAAACGATGAAAATAAAAATCTGTGATCTTTCATGGACCAAATTTTTGCTCTATGAACATTTTTTGACATCTTCAAGAATAATAATTGAACCAGATTCCTTGGTAACAAAATCTATTAATAAGGTCGCCCACCAGGAAAGCGAAGGTCTTCCCATCGGAAACAAAGTGTTATCCAGCGTAGTGAGTGAACGACTGAAACCAATGGTCAATGACATATTGGACCATTCCAATGCAGCTTAAGGTCTGGCAAATCCACCATTGACTAGATTATCACTCAGCGCCAAATCCTAGAAAAGCACATCGACACATTCCACCTATTTGTCGATCATAAACCCGCATTCGACAGCCCCATACGTTCAGAGGTGTTTAAAGCCATGTCTGCAAAATTAATAGGCTATTCAGGATAAATTTTACTGGCACAAGGTCAGCATTGAAAGTCGGAAAGGACCTCTCTTTTAATACCAAACACGGATTCAGACAAGGTGCCAGTTTGTCTTTGTATGATCTGTATATGCAATTAATACTATAAAAATTTGATTTAAGAGGCTCTATCCACACTACAATTTTTTACCACCATCAAATGCTGCCATAAAGGGTTTATTTAAAAAAATATTCAATTAAATAGTGATGGACAACATTCATTGATTTCAAACAAAAAACTAATAAAAATCTCTAAACTGATAGGAAGATCATCAAACCGCTTGAACTTTATTTACTTACTACTTACCTTCATATTATGTTCGACCAATTTCTCACTGGAGCAGATCATATAGACCAAAATTCTTACCAGTGGACCGAAGATATGCTAGATTAAAATTCCTTATAGCCCAATTTAAAAATGAATCAACAAGTTTTTTAGCCGACAATATGCTTTTATATTGGAATATTTTAGAAGAGAATAATATTCGAAAAAAAAACGATGAAAATAAAAATCTGTGATCTTTCATGGACCAAATTTTTGCTCTATGAACATTTTTTGACATCTTCAAGAATAATAATTGAACCAGATTCCTTGGTAACAAAATCTATTAATAAGGTCGCCCACCAGGAAAGCGAAGGTCTTCCCATCGGAAACAAAGTGTTATCCAGCGTAGTGAGTGAACGACTGAAACCAATGGTCAATGACATATTGGACCATTCCAATGCAGCTTAAGGTCTGGCAAATCCACCATTGACTAGATTATCACTCAGCGCCAAATCCTAGAAAAGCACATCGACACATTCCACCTATTTGTCGATCATAAACCCGCATTCGACAGCCCCATACGTTCAGAGGTGTTTAAAGCCATGTCTGCAAAATTAATAGGCTATTCAGGATAAATTTTACTGGCACAAGGTCAGCATTGAAAGTCGGAAAGGACCTCTCTTTTAATACCAAACACGGATTCAGACAAGGTGCCAGTTTGTCTTGTGATCTGTCCAAATGTGGACAGAAATGGCACAAACAGCATATGTTACTCTCCTACGTCGCTGACATCGAGTTACCACATTAGAACTAATATCTGCCGCGACCTGGCAACCTTATCGAAAGCTATTAAGCCCAGCTTACATTGTATGTAGGTGAAGAACCGCATGTACATACCTACATACAAGTAGTCGCACCACCGCATTACAAGTGTCTATTGTCTGGTCGTAATGAAGGCTATTTAAACATTTTTTTCAATTGTCATTTGTTGCCGTTCTAGGCTATACAGGGTAAATTTTACTGGCACAAAGTCTGCATTGAAAGTCGGAAAGAACCTCTCTTTTAATACCAAACAAGGATTCAAACAAGGTGCCAGTTTGTCTTGTGATCTGTCTGTCTGTTACTCTCCTACGTCGCTGACATCGACATAATGGGTCGAACATTGCGAGTGGTAACAACTTCCTTTCAACAACTTGAGAAGGAATCTGCCATAGTAGGTCTGATTGTAAATGGCGAGAAGTCCAAGCAGATTGTATCAACGCATAAGACGTCACGTAGACTCGGAACAACTGTTGAACTTGAGACCTACAGCTTTCAGGTAGTCAAATATTTGATATACCTTGGTACCGTTATAAATAAAGCTAACTAAACTCAGTTGCATGGGTACTTGCACAAGCAGATGAGGCAGCTCTTGAAGTGTTTGAGAGAAAAATTCTCCGAAAAATCTATGGGTCGATTTGCGTCGACGGTAAATATCGCCGTAGAATGAACCATGAGTTGTATCACCTATTCTCGGACATCGACATAGTCAGACGCATCAAGCTGTAGCGACTACGTTGGCTAGGTCATGTTGTGCGAATGGATGAGGGTGCCCCAGCTCAAAAGGGGAAAGCCACGAATTCAATGAAAAGATCAAGTGGAAGACAGCATCTCCGCACAAGGTATTTCAAATTGGAAGAGCTCATACAATAGGAAATCTTTTTGAACTCGGCTTATGGAATAAATGTTCTGTCACAAGACAGCTATGTAAGTACTTAGTCTATTGTCAAAAATATGGACGTTGTTTACGTTTTCACAACGGAAGTCAATTCACAATAATGGATTGTGATGGCAACCTTGAGAATCAGCTGATATTTAGCTGGTCTCCCTAGATGACTTAATCCCTTGGTGATAAGATGATACATCACCTTAATAATAAGGTGATGTATCAAAACAAAGATATTTGTTTTTTATCCGACCATCTCTCAAATTGTATCTAGTAATCTTTCTCATGTCTGGCAACATACCACATCGAAATCAAGTAGAAACTACTCATTTTGACAGTTAATCAGCCGCTCTAAATAAACTACCTATTTATTGTGCCATGGTAGAAACTATGCACTTTGACATTTAATCGCGTAGTCAGCTGCTTTAAATGGAGTACCTATTTATTGCACCTTTTGTAAAGAGTTACCACATTAGAACTAATATCTGCCGCAACCTGGCAACCTTATCGAAAGCTATTAAGCCCAGCTTACATTGTATGTAGGTGAAGAACCGCATGTACATACCTACATACAAGTAGCCGCTCCACCGCATTACAAGTGTCTATTGTCTGGTCGTAATGAGGGCTATTTAAACATTTTTTTTTTCAATTGTCATTTGTTGCCGTTCTAGGGTTGAACGGCGCAGGGAAACTAGGTGCTGCAACGTAAGGTTAATTGTTGCTGTTGTTGTTGGTAAAAAAATAAACAGTTTACCGCACAAAAATAACTGCAATAAACATATCGTGTATTCTGTCATTATCTAGTGGAAATTTTGTTTAGCTTAATTGCTATTTGAAATTCATTCATTCCAAACAAAAAATTCAGGTTTGGGATTTTGTTTAAATGAATCATATGATAAAGGTGGAAATTGGTTTAGGTTGTGGATGTAGAATTGGCGTATTTGGGGTATATTATTTAAGATATGTTAGTTTTTGGGGGAAGATGGTTTCCCATAGGCATCATTACATGGACTCGATAAAGCCATTGCAAATAGTTTTCGTATTTTGGTATTGCATCATTTTCACCCATTCGGCACTTCAAAAAGCTCCTATTGAAATATTTCGTACGATCCAAGGTCCCAATAATAATGTCCGATTTTAATAGAGCTGTCCAATTGCTTCCAATTTTGACTTAGTCGTATAGAAAGGTAAATAAAAAAAATTGACAGTATGGGAGATTTTTAACCAAAATTGCCGATATTTGCTTCTTACACGACCTGCTTAATGTACCTTGGTATGATCTGTATATGCAATTAATACTATAAAAATTTGATTTAAGAGGCTCTATCCACACTACAATTTTTTACCACCATCAAATGCTGCCATAAAGGGTTTATTTAAAAAAATATTCAATTAAATAGTGATGGACAACATTCATTGATTTCAAACAAAAAACTAATAAAAATCTCTAAACTGATAGGAAGATCATCAAACCGCTTGAACTTTATTTACTTACTACTTACCTTCATATTATGTTCGACCAATTTCTCACTGGAGCAGATCATATAGACCAAATAGGCTCGTACTAACTCCCATGTTGTTTTGCTCTTGAATGCCGCAACTGGATCGTTGAAACTAACATCCAACGGATCCCGTTGTGGATTCTCGGGTACATTTGGTGTGGGAGGAGTACGACGCAACTGAGATTTGGAATAGACCGATGATTTCTGCTCATCACCAATTGTCTGGGTGGCAGCTACCGTTTGCGATTTGGTGGCATTTGTGTGGAGACCACGTTGCTGATGGCCATAAATCGAGGCAAACAATGTTTGGGGGAAAACACGTTGACGTTGACTCAAACCGGAACTCGAATATTTCAATTCATCATTCGACCAATTATTCGATACTGCTGCTGCCGCCGCTGCTTTGCTCGAGCCAAATTGACGTTTACCAGCGCCAAGACTGCTGGAACCACTAACGCTAAAGCTATAAACTAAATTGGTACGTTGAGCACAGATGGAACGCAAAAACGCCATTACACACGCGCACTAACTTGGATTCAATGAAATATGGATTGGTTGTTCTTGTGTTCTATTTGCGGTGTTTCCCAGAGGATACAATTTCTACAGCACTTTTTTTGTTGTAATTTTTTATTTTTCTTCGTCGTTTGTGATTTCGTTTTGCAGTTTCTTCGTGGCGTTTTATAAGGAACGTTGACTTTTTGTTTTTGCTTTTTATTTTGCACTTTTTCTTTCTGTGATAATTTTATTTCTTTCTTGTGAATGAAACGACAAAGCACATGGAACAATTATCTCTGCTGTCACACAAGAAAATGTTTACACTGAAAAAAGAATCGGATAACAAAAGTTGAAGTTTAATAACAAATTGAGAGAAAAAAACTTCAACATAAACAGCAACAACAACATTGAAGAGAAATTATCACACACACGCACACCATGTCAACTCTGAGAGTGATATAAGGGAACTACCTCCCCCTTTTGTTGACATTACTCTTTATCCCACTTGCTCTCTTTGACTTGTATTTTGAATTTTCTATAGGTTTATTGAATTTAAGAGAGCATTGCCTCCTCTTACACCCCTTAGAAAATAATGTGGAGTCAAGTTGCCATGGTAAGGGCGATTTCAAACAAGTTTATATGGATTTCCGCCCTTAATTTTTGTTGTTATCCATCAGAAAAAGTTCAAACTATAATTGTCACTGGCTCTGTATCTCTCTATAAAAAAACTGTGACAAAGAGACAATAGAACACAGACTTACAAAACCATTACACAATTTTACAGATTATATTTTATATTTAGGAAGGACCAACATAAAATAATAAAGTTTATAGGTCTAAATATCTTTATACCTTCCGCCAAATTGTGGATATATGTATGTTATTTTTTGCATTCGCTTTGCAACACTGCGAAATATTCCTCAGATTACATATGTATGCTCATGCTCTGTCGTAGGACCTGCAGGAATCTCCTAAACTTTTTTCGAATGATATAATTTAAGATCTGTGAATACGATCCATCAAACGAAAGTCTGCTGTCTTTTTTTCTCAAGTCTAATATCAAAAATTTGAACGGTGTTTACGTTTTCATTATGGAAGTCAATTCACAATAATGGATTTTGACAGCCAACTTGACCAAATTAATAGTCGTTGATATATTTTTTACAATAAATAACATGATGCAATAATAAGATGATGTATCAAAACAAAAACATTTGTTTTAGTCCCAGACTACCCTGGACTACTTATTTATTGTGCCATGAATAAATGGGTACTCCATTTAGCGCAGCTGACTATCCGATTAACTGTCAAAGTGCATAGAGTCTACATGAATTCGACGTCAAATGTTGCCAACCATAGATGAAAATTTTCGGAAAACACGGTGTATGCAAATGTACCTTAAAACGACATGTACATTAGAACTTTTTGCAGGGTTAACCTATTATTTATTTGACAAATATGTAATGGAATTGATAATTAAAACCCATTAGGTTAACTTTATCCGGTATAATGTAAACGTACTATGAAATGAGGATTCATTGACGAAACGATCGTCCTTAGAAATATCGATTCGAACAGTATTACAAGATCTACAACTATATTAATGCCTTCGTTTCCTCCGAAAGCGCACAATCAAGCGTATGACATAATTTTGAACAATTTTGTGTAGAATATTATACTCAGACTATTTCTACTGAATATAATTTCTCAAAGATATATCCCCTTCAACAATTCCAGAACACAATTCAATGGTCTGTTCCAGTACTTTTTTAATAGAAAAGCTAGTAAAAGGGAAACATTTAAAAATCGCTCTCAGAGTACAAAATAATTTGAAAAGTTCGGAAACGCAAATCTAGTAAATATGTCAAAATTAGATGACAATACTTTAAAATCAACATAACAGCCAATCAGAAGTTGTTATTCCTCAAGGTGAATTAAATAAGGTGTAAGTGGAAATCATATGGTTTCAGAGTTTTGTTTGTGAATCTAATTGTTAAACACATTTTTGTAATATATATTTTTTTTTTACTTTCAAAACTTTATAAACAAATGCGAAGATGAATAGTTTTTGGAACAAATATTTTATTAATGGGAAGGGATCATTTCTTAGCTTCCCAAAGAACCAAATATAAAGCCCTGTCGCGGATTATTTCAAACACTTACAACAGGATATATATTTTGTTCATGGGCTATAGCATTTGGGAATTTGTGGGAATTTTATTTTGACAAGAATTTAGCTCAAGGCTAACCACAGGCAAAATTTCAGCAAAAAAAAAAAGATTTGTTGCGTACGCGAAAATCGAATGTTTACCACCCACTTCTATTTCTTCAGGTTTAGAAAGCAATATGTAGAAGTAATTTCGATTGTATAAGAAATTCAGTTGCATATCTTGCATTAGAATCTGTCGATGGTGAAGTTGTTTGCTGAGATCCGGTCAACCACCTCAATTTGATATTTAGTGAAGTTATCCCCAAGATCCGGACAATCACCCCAATTTTATATTTGGAGGGCAGCTTTGGAAGCTGATTTTTGGGTAGTACGGACTTTCTCGAAAAATATGTATGGTTGTTATCAGGAAATCAGCGGCAATATAAAAAATGGCGTTTCTGGCCAGGATGGTAATTTTTAAGAGAATTTATTTTCTATTTTCGATATAATTTTTTCTTTAATTGTACAATTTTTGTTACAATTATTTATTTGTTTTTGTTTCTTCACAACATAAACTAATTGTCAGCATTACAATTTAATTTCTATAACAACTGTATAAGCAAGAATTGCTATTTAAAATAGTTAAATAGTTAGCCTTTGATTTGAAAGGCAATAGCCGTTGAAATCTGTTCACTCCTCTTTATTACATCCTTGTAATAGTATGAGACTGACAGATTTCAACGGCCTTTGTTTACATTTTGTTTTTCTTATAAAAGGCCAAACAACATTTTCAAATGGCTATGAACAATAAGACGTGGATTATCATAAGTGGAATTCAAGGCATTCCACGCAGGTTCAAAACTCCGATGAGTCAAAGGAAATTTCGAGACGATTTCTCGAGCCTCACCACTAGTTTTACTCACCAGATGACATAGACGCTCAATGTCTGTCAATCGGGAGTTATTAATATAAACCGCACTAAATAAATCTCTGAATGTGGGCCAATCAAGAATATTTCCACTGAAAATATCGATATTGCATGGAGGAATCGCGAGATTATGAAAGTTATCAACATTAGGAGAATCAACAACAAAGCTTTGACCTATTCTAGTATTCCCAATATTCAATATTTCGGAACTAGATGTCTGTATTCCCACCTCGCGAGAGGAGTGGGACGACGAGCTCATGTTATGAAGGGAGACATCAACTGACGGCTTTCCCGAAAGAATATTAGCAGGATGCTCCGCTACTGATAATTTATTTGAATTCCTAAATTTAGACAACAGTCTATTTATAATTGATACGCAAAGCATGTATTCCTTATACGAAACCTCATATTTACTATATACACTATCAAGATCTTCAGGATTTCGAATGTGGGAGAGACAATTATTAAAAGTTTCCTCGACAGATTTCCACAATTTTTTAATTTCTTCACTCCTAACCTCAAGATCATATATATCCAATTCTTCTTCCTTCAATGCACCGAAGTGTGCAGCGAATCTCACAATAGAGGTGGAAGCACGGAGAAATAAATTCATAGGAGTGAAAGCCATTTTATCAAATTAAAACAAAATATGTAATAATTCTAAGTTCAGAAAGGCCAGTGGAGAATAAAAGACAAAATAAATGTCGAAATCAAATGAAATTTACACAAAAACGATAAAAACTTTCAAAAAGTTAAATAATAATTCAAAAAATATGTCAAAATTAACAATTTTTTTTTTAAATTAACGACTCTAAAACCAAAAAGCTAATTAGATTATATAAATTTGAATAAAATATATCTAGATATCAATAAATCTCACGGGAATTGCTTTAAGTTTTAAATACAATGGTGAAAATACACAAACATCGAAGATAACTTTGGAGAAAATCCACAAAAACAACTATCAATTATAGCTGACAGTCAACAAACTAACTACCAATTGTAGCGTATAAATTATTAAATCAAATAAAGAAGCTACCGAATGTAGCGTTTTTATAATAAAATTGCTATAAAATGCAAAAAATTATTAATATTTACACAAAATCGATATCCAACGATCTGCCAAATATACACCCTACACAATACAAAAGTCCAAACGACCGATTGTAGGGCATAAAAATATTCACAACAAATAAAAAAAAAAATAATATGCAACTATATGCACAATGAAACAAAAATAAGTTATAAAAATCGAATAAATTATTAATAGGCAACTCTATCGTTTCGCGGGGTCCTTCATGGCTCTATCGTTTCGCGTGGTCCTTCCTGGCTCTATCGTTTCGCGGGGTCCTTCATGGCTCTATCGTTTCGCGGGGTCCCTAATGGCCCTTTCGTACCACAGGTCCTTTCTGGCCTCACACAACCGCGGGGTCCCTAATGGCCCTTTCGTACAATAGATCCTTCAAGATCTATGTAATCGCGGGGTCCCTAATGGCCCTATCGTTAGCATGTAAGCTTGTTATTTGAAAAAAGTAAAAAAAAATGATGAAAAAAAATTGGAAAAAATATTTGAAAAAATGTAAAAGGTTTTGCTCACCATGCACTATGCCGTTTTTTATAATTTATTGTATTTGTTAAAACATATGGATGTTTCAAGGGAGGCGGCAAATGTATAAGCAAGAATTGCTATTTAAAATAGTTAAATAGTTAGCCTTTGATTTGAAAGGCAATAGCCGTTGAAATCTGTTCACTCCTCTTTATTACATCCTTGTAATAGTATGAGACTGACAGATTTCAACGGCCTTTGTTTACATTTTGTTTTTCGCCACCTTTAGGCATCTTTGTGTAAACAAACATTGTTATTAGTACGTGAACTCTCGTTGCAACCTACTGGCCACACATATTGTTGGAAACACCAAGGCTTTATTGTAAGCCACCGTA